TCTATCTATCTATATATCTATCTATCTCTCTCTCTATATATATGTACATATATATATATATATATATATATATATATATATATATATATATATATATATATATATATATATATATATACATATATATATATATATATATATATATATATATATATATATATATATATATATATATATATATATGTTTATATATTGCCATGTAAATATACATATATACATAAATACACACACACACACACACACACACACACACACACACACACACACACACACACACACACATACATACATACATACATACACACACACACACACACACACACACACACACACACACACACTCACTCATTCACACACACACACACACACACACACACACACACACACACACACACACACACACACACACACACACACACACACACACACACACACAGATATCTAACTTGATAAGCAGATGACACCGCTTGTTTGCACGATTAAGGTAAAAGAAATGAAAACATTATGAAAAGGAGTTGAATATTTATGTTAGGACACATTTGTATAAAATTAATATCTATATATATTGGGCACAGGAAGAGAATTTCTTTGTTTAACTATACAAAAATCACATAAGGTTAAATGACACGTTGTAGAATAAATTTACCTATCTACTGTACAATAAATGAGATATATAGTTTTATCACATTCTTTCTAAGAAACAAAATTCATAATATTCATCGTTTTTTTTTCTTCCTTTTTTTTGTAATTTGACAAACATATTAAAAAGAAAAAGGTGTATCATTTTCATTTTCGTGTTCTGTGCTTTCTCATTTTCTTGAATTTTCTTCTTTCGCTTTTTCGTATTTCATTTCTATTTCAGTTCTGTCCTTTGACTACTTATCCTTTATTTCCGTTTCTCTTATTTCTTTTTCTCTTCCTAAATTCTTATTTCTTTCATCTTGTTCTTTCTTTAATCAGCATGAAATCCTTTTGTCCTTCCTTTTTATTATTTTAATTTTTTCTTATCAATATCCCATATTCTCATTTTCTCCATAATTTCTTAGTTCTTGATTCCTTATATCCATTTCACTCTCCTCCATTGCCTTTTTTTTCTCCTTCTTCTCTTCTCCTTCTCCATATTCCCTGCTCATTCTTCATTCCTTTTCTTCTTCTTCTTCTTTTCTTCTTCTCTCTTTCATTCTATATTTCCACCTTATTCTTCTTCTCACCTATCCCATCCTTCTTCCCTATTATCTTTACTCCTTCTCCTTCTCCAAAATTCTTAAGCTTACGTGTTACAAAAGAGCAAAGGAAAACATTTATGAGAGAGATTACAAGACATATAAAACTGTAATGAAGTGTTTGCGCACTGCTCTTGTCTTAGCACTATGTATTCCAACTATATATAATTCTATGTCAATAAAATAGATATCAGCATAAAAAGTTTTTTTCTTTTTCTCTTTTTTTTCATCTACAATGGCTTTCCTATAACAGGTATGTGATATATTTCTACAGGTTAATTCAGTAGCTATGTCGAGGGTTCGGTGACAATAAGTATGTCTTTTGCATTCTTAAGTATCAAAGTAGAAATAGTACCGTGTGCGCGCGCTTGTATGTGTGTGTGTGTGTGTGTGCGTATACCCTCCGCATAAACACACACACACACACACACACACACACACACACACACACACACACACACACACACACACACACACACACACACACACACACACACACACACACACACACACACACACACACACACACACACACACACATCTACACTCAAAGGAACATATAACCAGGTAGCTCCACTTCCATTTAGCCTTTTGAATCTGAAAACGAAATTCACGTCTCCCCAAGAGTATTCTGATGGTAGTTGATGGTAAAGAACTCTTCGTTATCATAAATAAAAGAGGGGAATTTTGGTTTTACTTATGACAGGTATGACAATATCGAGTAACTTATACGAATTATTATCTATCTAGCTATATCTGATATCTCACGGTGCAGTCTCATTGACCAAACGTGCTGACGTTAATTCTCTTTCAGACACCAATAATTTGTGCAAATATTTTATGGTAAGTGTTATTTCAGTGCATTTTCTTTGAAGTTGGTTCAGTAATAATAATGGTAAAATTATCGAAAAAGAAACGAGAGAGAGAGAGAGAGAGAGAGAGAGAGAGAGAGAGAGAGAGAGAGAGAGAGAGAGAGAGAGAGAATATATAGATAGATAGATGGATAGATAGATAGATAGACAGATAGATATTTGAGATTTGCAATGAACAAAGGTGATGAGCTCGGATGTTGCTAACTGGGATTTTTCATCAAAATGGAGTGAGTTTACCTGTATAAAGATACCTTGTCACACACACACATATGTATACACATATATATTATTTATTTATTTAAACATCTACGAATGTGTATTGTACTCGAAAAATAATGCGTGTCCATTGTTTACAGTCAGTAATACAAGGAGTTAGGAAGATCGTACAAGACTGATTACTTCCTATTGTAATATATGACAGCTTGTGCTAGGTATAAAGAAATACTCCAATAGTGATGATACATTTAAGAATAAACCATCTTTCATATAGAAGGCCTGTATCTTTATTCCGCACAGCAAAAGCATGTATCAGATAAACGTAACAACGCAAACAAACGTTTACTTGAATCCTAATTTCCCTAAAAGTCACGTCCATAATACTTCGATCACTTGACGTTCATATGAAAAAGCTGGATTTACGGCGACCGAAGAAATCAAGCAGAGCCGTAGGTTAGAAGATATACTCGTCTTTCATCAATGCTGCGCCTACTGCCTATTGAAAGTAACGATCGTAGCGGATATGTGACTTACCGAACTATTCAGGAACGGCTGCTG